TATCAACAAGGCTTTTATTCAAAATTACAATGTGTGTCTCTTTAACCATCACATAATAGGATAGTTTACTAAAAGAAAGAGTCAGAGAGAAACAGAGAAAGAAAAGGAATAAGAGAGAATATAGTAAAGGGAAAAATGGAAAATTATATATAGGCATGAAAGAAGGACAATAAAAAAGAGCAAATAGGATGGAAATAAAATCACTAAAATAAAGGAGACAAAAAAAGAAAAGAAAAAGACAAAAGAGGAGGAAACAACTATAAATCCTCTGTTCTCCGTCTCATGTTCTTTTTCATGTCGTCGGCTGCTCTTCTCTTCTTGAATCCTACACTTTCTCCACTGCTTCTGTCCTTTGCTGAGAGAGTCACTGTCTTCACCTTAAAAGTAGACTCCTGTTGTTTGAAGGACAGCTCTGGACCATAGTACTCATTTTCAGGGAGCTCTGGCAACTGGTAGTCAATCTGCTTGGCTGGTTCCCTGACAAAGGAGTTTTTCCAATTTATATCAAAGAAAAATGTGATGAGACATTACTATATAAAAATGTAATATGGTGAAATCATAAGGTAAAATTAAATAATGCCATTAAGTTGATGAAAATGTAGTGTCTTAAATAAATTCAATTCTTTAACTCATTCGTGCCGGGTGTCACGTATACGTGACAGGCTCACTGTGAGTTTACTTGTTTAATTGTTTTCACACATAGATGGCGACACTTGTACTTGTACTGCCTGTCTCGCCTGTTTACCCTTTTCTTTAATTTACGAAATTATTTTGCTGTTACTAATGTTTATAACATTATAGTAATTATAATGATTATAATAAAGATAACCATCGATATTCGTAACACTAGTAAAAATACATTTTCCCACCAATTCCAGTAAAGGTGAAATCAGGTAAGGCAGAGCCATCTAGTGTAGTGAAATTTCATAAAAAAAGTACAAAAAATGAGCACAGCATTTTCCCCATTTTTTGTTAATTTTTACCCGGCGCGAATGGGTTAAAAGCATAAAAGAATCTGGTCAACAAAAAAGAAGGATAAATTTGTGATTCGTGTCATGAAATGTACAAAAATATTTTGTGTTGTATTAGAACAAAATGAGGTTTCATATAAATTATTATACAAATTTTGGGTGGCTAAGACTTGTCTATATGATAAATAATAAGAATTCAAGTACTTAAATTATTCCTCACATTAATGATATGTAACTGTCTTATAAGATGAAGCACTGGCCTGATAAAGTAAATATTATAACTTCTGAGGTTACTGGAATGAATAACAAAAAAAAATTATGCTCAAATTTACAACAAAGTTTCAGCTACTTGAATATCACTGTTTGTACAAATGCATTAAATGATGAATTTGTATTATCATAAACAACTATTTATTTTCTAAGCCTCATACTTCAAACACATTCATATAACCCCCCACCCCCCACCCCCCCCAAAAAAAAAAAAAAAAAAAAAAAAAAATCTCTCCTGTTTTGGTGCATAAAACAATAAATAATAAAGGATATTTACTAAACAAATAGTACTATAAATGACAAGATAATACTTCTTAACTCTAACCTCAACTTCAAAATACACTAAACTGCATATCTATAATCATAAGCTTCAAAGACAGGAGGAAATGAACTTCATACTTTTCAACTTTTTTCCACGAGCTAAAGGCTTCTGCTTTCTGCACTGGACCGCAAGGAAGAGAGGCAGAGGCTGCTGTAGTGTTCTCTGATCCTTTGCTACTCTTGGTGCTCAATTTTTCCTGTTCTTCTATGGATAAGTAACCTTCATCTGGAGTCTCCCATTTTGATTCTGCAAGAATTGATAATTAATTGGATGGTTTCAAAATTTGAAACTCAAATCAGGATAGGTTAGCGACAAGTTCTGATTAACTTTCATATTGACATCACCACAGCAATGTAAACAAAGAATAAATAACAATATTATGTATTATGTATAATGGAACTTTATACCAGAGTTCGTCACCAGACAGATGTAGACACACAGAGACAGACAGACAGACAGACACAGACACACACACACAAACTCACTACCTACCATGTGTGCACACAAGAAGAATAAGAATAAGAATAAGAATGATATGAAGAAAAAGAAGAAAAAGGTCAATAATTACTCAGCCAGACAAGGATCTTACCACCTGTTCCAATGTGCCAGTAATAAGTGTAACCTTCTGGCGACTTCGCTTCATACCAGTTCTTGATTACAGATGATTCTTTTTTACTGCTACTGCTGGTTTTTGATTCTGTCTTTTTATTCTTGATGACAATTTCTGCATTACTAGCTGCGGCAATTTCGCTTATTTTGGATCCTGTCATGTCGGGATTCTGCTCAATGTCGCTTTTGTATGCCTTTAATGCTGCCTTGGGACAAACACATTATTATCAAATCTTAAGTCTAAAGATCAATGAAAGTAATACAATAAAATGATATATATAACCATCTATCCTATAAACATTTTCCTCCGAGAAGTACCTCTTCCATTGATTTGAGAAAGTCAGCTTCATTTTGCTTGGCCTCAAAATCCTCCCGTCCCTTCTTTCCCATCTCTGCCAGCCGTATCTGCACATTTTCTTTGTGACGTTTTCCCCTCTCGTGGAATTCGATGCTAGGCTTGTTGTCTGCTATCCAGCATTTACAGAAATCACAAAACTTCCTAGGATTTGACTTCCAGTATTCAGACCTAAAAGCAGACATGTAAAAATAAGTAAGAACAAAAACAAAGACAAAAAAAAAAAAAAAAAAAGAAGGAGAAAGAAGACATATATTAATAAAGATTTGTACAGTAATTTTTGAATTTAACTTTTTATTATGAATATTGCATTAATGTTTAGACGAGGATATTGCACTGAGATATGTAAATACACGAACATTGGTAATCAATAATCAAATGTGTATTGGTTGTGGATTTCGTGAGCATCTATGGTCAGGTCATATGTACTAAATTCCAGTAAATGCTATGCCATAGCATGAAATGAGTAACAATGGGATAACATTTAATATACATTCATACATAATGGTCAGGTCAGGTGTATTAATTTCCAGTAAATGCTATGATATAGTATGAAATGAGTAATAAAAGGATAGCATTTAACACACACACACACACACACACATATATATATTTACATACACACACATATATGTACATATATGCACGTATATGTACATGAATACATATACATATGTGTGTGTGTGTGTGTGTGTGTGTGTGTGTGTGTGTGTGTGTGTGTGTGTGTATATACACACCTCTATCTTTTTATCTATCTATAAATATCAATTATATTTATTTATCTATATCTATCTATCTATTTATCTAGCTATCTTTCTACCTAAATATGGAATTTCCTTTATAAACTGATAATAAGGTAGTACTTAAGTATATATTATATAATGACTGA